AAAACACTGCGGGTTTCTGATTCTTCAGGCAACACCTATTTTGTGCCACATGTTATTTATCCCACTTTTGTTCATATAGTCTTTCTCCACATAGTATAAAATACAATGACAATACAATAATACAAGTTATTAAATTACTACCACATTGAGAGTTTATATCTCTGGCCATTTTAGTGCTTTGGGGTTTCCTTTCTCTTTAGCCATGCAAATTCCTTGGTTTTCTTTCAATATTGTATAATGAAAAGCACAATGTTAAGATTTTACTGGCTTAACTCTCAGAAAGCTACTTTATTTTCAAGTTTTAAGGGTTCTTTTTTTTTATTGTCCCTAAGCACTGCTGACAGTGAAGAGGTAGCAAATTGACAGAGGTACAAATTAAAATTCAAGTAACTACTGGGCTATTGTTCACTGGGCTATTACTATTTCTGGAACATGTATCACTTGCTAAATATCAACTAGTACTTGTGTATGGAGTAACTAGTTACTAGTACACTATGTTTCTTTTCTATTTCGTATCACGGCCAGCACTAAGTATAATGATATACACATAGGTACTTAAAAGTTACATGTTAACTGAATATAAGGATTTTTTACTGCATGTAGTTTAAACTACAGTTTATAAAAAATGATGAAGTACTTTAACTTTTTAACCTTCAAGTTCAGATAAAGAGAAAAAGGGTTTAAAAACTAGGAGAGGGGTATAAAAATAGTTTTTCAAAAATGATCTTCATCTGAGTTTAAAAGGTTATATGGTGTTGTACGACAATAAGAGAAATGAACATTAAACTTTAGTCTTGTAAATAATCTAACAATACACTGGTTAAGGGGAGCTGGCTTGTAAATCCTGAGTCATTCCAGATACTGAAATTCTATAACTGCTTACATTCCAGTCCTAAAAAGGGAGATATGCCATTTGGTTTGGAAGGCAAATTTTAACTATCTGCTGTCTATTTCATTAAAAACAAAAACAGAACATTTTTTTCAGTTTAAAACTTTGGAGAAAAGTTAAGCCCATATGACAATAAACATCTCAAATGTCAAGGAGAAATTATGGTTTAAATATGTTTTGGATTAGAAGAAGCAATTCTGAGACAGCATTATACATGAAGCATAGGTTATTTTATTTCTTGAAAGTCATATATATGCACACATGCATATATACATACACTCATGTTTTACCCCAGTTCTGCTCTTGACCTATCTTAGCATTCCTCTAGCACACAAATAAATATATATATATATACACACACAAGACATACACACAAGATACATGCACATACACACACACACATGCACACAAATATAGACAGGGAAGAGTTCTAAAATAATAAATCTAATCCACCAGTCTCTATTGCTAATTCCACCTCAACAGTCAACAACCACTTGGAAAGATTATTCAGCATCTAAGAATAGAAGTAATAGCATAATAAAAAGTTAGAGAAGGGGAATATAGAAATAATCTAAACTAATTACATCAGTTTTTTTCAGGTGGCAACATAAGGCCCAGAAAGGTTATATAACATGATCAAGGAATTCAAGTCTTTAATGTGCAAGTTAAATACGTCAGTGCTGAAGAAACATTAGTAACTGCAGAAAAGTTTCCAAATCAAAACATACTTATGGCCTAGTAAATAAATTATCTGAGTCTTATGTTTAGGGGATTCTCCATAGTGATTACTGAGTCCAGCTCGGGGATAAGTAACACAGAAACTGTAAACCTACAAGCAAGGTATGGTAGCTTTCAAATGCCATGGAGCAAGCACCTTCACAGTGATTTCCTGTAGGGCAGTAGCCCTCAAACTTTTTGGTGTCAGGGCTCTTTTATACTCTTAAGAATAACTGAAGACACCAAAGGACTTTTGTTTATATGGATTTTGTATCTATTAGTATTTCCTATAATAGAAATTAAAACTGAGAAATCTTGAACATTAGTTCATTAAAAATAATAGTAATAAACTCATTTCATGTTAAATAGCATCTTTTTGGAAAACTATTTTCTTTTTTTAAGTTTTTATTTAAATTCCAGTTAGTTAATGTAGTATTAGTGTCAGGTACACAAAAGAGTGATTCATCACTTCAATATATCAGCTGGTGCTCATCACAAGTGCCCTCCTTAATCCCCATCACCTATTTCACCCATCCCCCCACCCACCTCTCCTCTGGTAACCATCAGTTTGTTCTCTATACTTAAGAGTCTGTTTCTTGGTTTGCTTCTCTCCTTTCTTTCCCCCTTTGCTTGTTTGTCTTGTTTCTTAAATTCCACATATGAGTGAAATCATATGGTACTTGTCTTTCTCTAACTGACTTTTCCCTTAGCATTATATCTCTAACTCCATCCATGTCATTGCAAACGGCAAAATTTCATTCTTTTTTATAGCTTAGTAATATTCCATTGTGTATGTATGTGCATATACCACACCTTGTATTTTTCTTAGAAAAAGATAACTATTTTCAAGAAAAGTTTTGAGAAGAGTAACATTGTTTCACATTTTAAAAATCTCTTTAACATCTGCCGTAGTAGAAGACAGCATGATTCCAATATTTACTTCTGAATTTGTTCTTTGTAATACATTTTTTAAGATTATATTTGTATATTGATGTATATGAAGAAAATCTGGTATCACACATATAATTGGAAAAATGAGTATTTGAATCGCCTTTTCATATAATTGCGAATATTCTTTGATACTACACCAAAACTTGACAAGTTGTAACTTCTTAATGGTAGGTTGCAATGTGGGATCTAAAACCACGTTTTTAAAATCCATGTATTATTTTTAAAAATACAATGTACTGATCATTTGAAAAATACTGGTTCAGTGAATTATGCAGATCTTCTAAATACTGACATGTTTCTTTATATGATACCAAAAAAATCACACTTGTTAATATCACCACTGACTTATTAGGCAGTCTTTAAGTATTGAAAACCTGTCAAGATCATGGTGATAGAAGCAATTTCTCCAAAATTTTCTTTGATACTCAAATTTTATTATTGCCCACAGTATTATTAACTAAATCATTATGTTGTACATTACATTCCCATGAGGTATTCATTTTATAACTGGAAATTTATAACTTTAGCCAAGACTTTTAATACTTCTCTTATATTCTCCTGGAGCAGATTAATTCTAATGACTATGCAGTTCTATAGGCTGGTGACCCCAGAGGGCAGAAATAGCCTGGATCTCTGAAATACTATGTGGAGGAGAGGTACTCATTGACCACTAACTAATATAAAAACTCAACAAGATACCTTTAAAGGTAGGCTAGGGCCCTAGAAAAATATAAAAGAGCTTCAAAGTTCAAATAAACACATAGATTTCCTAAAAGTCACAATCTAAGTAGAAATTTACAGAAAAAAACTACTTTGTAAAAAGCAAACAAACAAACAAAAAAACAACCCCAAACCCTCTTTAAGCATTTCTTGACTTTTTGAAATGGTACAACCGCCCTTTTAGTTCCCCTGCCAAAAACACTGGTGCATAGATCTGTGCTTTCCCAGTGGAGGCTCAGTTACTTTCAGAGGATTAGAAATTCCAACCTTTGCAGTCATTGTACTTCTGGACTACTTTGGCCCCAGAATGTGGGTTTCCAATTCCCCAAACCACTGCTATTTCTAGAGGAATCCATATATAAAATTTGGAAATAAGTGAATTTTCTCCCTACTCTGCTCTTTTTCTGACCCTTCTACTAATATCTCTCCCTCTTTCCTTCTCATGTATTAAAATTTGATCCCAGGAAAGGATCTAAAAACTCATTCACATTAGTCATGAATGAAGGATTAAGGCTATGGCCACTCTTTATAAGTTACAGCTCTTATCCTATGATGACAGTTTTAAGCCTTAATGGACTTACAAGCTTGTAAAATTAAGTGACTAAGAGGAAGCATGTGAGTAGGCTATGAGTTCGGACTCTAAGGCCAGAATTTTCTGGGTATGAATTCATATTCCACTACTTATCAGTTATGTGACCTTGGGTAAGTTATTATTTAATTTCTTATGCTTCAGTTTGCTTACTTTATAAGGGATAATAAAAGTGAACTGCCACATAAGAATATTACTAATAAGGCTCTAAAAAGTTAACACATGTTATGAAGTACACACTTCAAATTAAAGACTTAAACAAGTTTAAGATAAATTATTAAATTTAAATTGAGAAGAATATGAAAGGAAACACTCATTAAACCCCTAATCTGCCCTCCCAGACTTAGAAGATCTCATCCAGAAACAGAAAAATCTAGTCATGGTTTAGAATCAAATATGAAAAGTATTTTTCAAATATTTAGGGGTAAATAAAATATATCATACATTTTATCAAGATTTTCTATTATTAAAATCAAGTGTTTTTGAATCAAATACATTTGTGTTTATTTCAAATGAAAATTATCATTAGAAATACAGTATAAAAGCTCTTTCAAGCATTGTAATTCACCACCTAGAATCTTCATATTAGATTGCAATAAATGGATACTGAAATAATAACTTCTGAAAAACTAAGGATTATCATGAAGCAACATATAAATAAGGGATGTTTGGAATAAACATTATTGAAATAAAAGCTCAATAAACAGTATTTCCTAGGAGAAGAGAAAAAACTTTCCTGACTGTCTATAGAGTAATTTGACTATGTTTTGATGGTCAAAATATTGGTCAAAAAAAATTGGCTAATACCTATTGATTATTTTAAATTATTGAATGTTGATTATTGTTGAATTTTGAGATGTAAAATGGTTTCATGTATTTTGTTTATGTAAAGAACATAAAAACAATATTACATATTATAGACAGAATGGATGACCACAAATTTCAGTATAGTCATTACCTTTGGAGAGGGGGAGACAGATTTACAAATGGTACCAAAAAAACCTCTAAATAAAAGGCTTGTAAGGCAAATATGGCAAAATACAAATATTTGTTACATGTGGGAAATGTTCTTTACTGTTCTGCATGCTTGCATAAAAAATAATAATAAAAATACATCTACGAGGAGACTTACCTAGGTGGTGGGATAAACACAGCTACTTTAGTCTATCTCCCAACCCTCAGTTAAATAACTATGAAACATAAATAGGAAAATATGCATCAGCACCAGAACACAGTTTTATAAACTGGTATTATATCTAAAGCCTATGAAATAAAACCAAATTTGTAAAAGTCTTTGATAATACTCTATCACATGAAGGGAAAGTACACAGGAGGAGGTCCTGAGAGATCCACATCCCCACTGGCAGAAGCTGAAGACGTTTTCCAGAGAAAACATTCAGATGGTTTACAAACACATGGAAAGATGCTCAACATCATTTATCATCAGGGAAATACAAATCAAAACCTCAATGAGATACCACCTCACACCTGTCAGAATGGCTAAAATTAACAAGTCAGGAAACAACAGGTGTTGATGAGGATGAGGGTACTGTTAGAGGGAATGCAAACTGGTGCAGACACTCTGGAGAACCTCACATGGTTAAATACAGAACTACCTGATGATCCAGCAGTTACATTACTAGGTATTTATCCAAAGAATATAAAAATATAAATTTGAAGGTTTGAAAGGGTACATGCACCCTGATGTTTATAGCAGCATTATCAACAATAACCAAACTATGGAGAGAGCCCAAATGTCTGTCAACTGATGAATGGATAAAGAAGATGTGGATATAGGAATATTACTCAGCCATCAAAAAGAATGAAATCTTGCCATTTGCAATGATGTGGATGAAGGTAGAGTGTATTATGCTAAGTGAAATAAGTCAGAGAAAGACAAATACCATATGATCTCACTTATATGTAGAATTTAAGAAAGAAAATGGATTACACATGGGAAGGGGGGGAAAAGAAAGGAGAGAGGAAAACAAACCTTAAGAGACTCTTAATGATAGAGAACAATCTGAAGATTGATGGAGAGAGGTGGGTGGGGGATGGCTAGATGGGTGATGGGTATTAAAGAGGGCACTTGTGATGAGCACTGGGTGTTTTATGTAAGTGATGAATCACTGAATTCTAGTCCAGAAAACAATATTGCTCTATATGTTAACTAAAATTTAAATAAATTTAAAAATGAGGAAATAAAGAAAAGCACAAGTTGCACTGAAATGAGATGTTCAGTTGGGAAACCAACGAGAAGCTTTACTTAATATTTCTACTTTATGTTTGAATTCCATCCACTTACATGCTATGATAACTAACTAGTACCATCAGCCAAAAAGTTGTAACTGCCTGAACACAAATTGCATCCACTAGAGGTTCCCTCTTATAAGGCTCAGCTCCCCTCCAATTTCTACCTGCTCTTGGTCATTCTCTGGTACCTCCAAATGGTTGTGTTTTTAAAAAATATTTTCAATAATTTATAACTTTTATAACAAATGTTGGAGAGGTTGTGGAGAAAGGGAAACCCTCTTACACTGTTGGTGGGAATGCAAGTTGGTACAGCCACTTTGCAAAACAGTGTGGAGGTGCCTCAAAAAATTAGAAATAGAGCTGTCCTATGACCCAGGAATTACACCCCTGGGTATTTACCCCAAAGACACAGATGTAGTGAAAAGAAAGGGCCATATGCTCCCCAATGTTCATAGCAGCAATGTCCACAATAGCCAAACTGTGGAAAGAGTCGAGATGCCCTTCAACAGATGAATGGATAAAGAAGATGTGGTCCATGTATACAATGGAATATTACTCAGCCAAAGGATGAATATCCAACTTTTACATCAACATGGATGGGACTGGAGGAAATTATGCTAAGTGAAATAAGTCAAGCAGAGAAAGTCAATTATATGGTTTCACTTATTTGTGGAACATAAAGAATAGCATGGAGGACATTAGGAGAAGGAAGGGAAAAATGAAGGGGGGGAAATCAGAGGGGGAGACAAACCATGAGAGATTATGGACTCTGAGAAACAAACTGAGGGTTTTAGAGGGGAGGGGGTGGGGGGATAGGTTAACCTGGTGATGGGTATTAAGGAGAGCACGTACTGCATGGAGCACTGGGTGTTATACGAAAACAATGAATCATGGATCAGTACATCAAAAACTAATGACTGTTGAATCACAGACCTGTACCTCTGAAACAAATAATACATTATATGTTAAAAAAAAAAAAGAGGATAGTAGGAATGGAAAAATGAAGGGGGGGGGAAATTGGAGGGGGAGATGAACCATGAGAGACTATGGACTCTGAGAAACAAACTGAGGGTTCTGGGGGGGGGATGGGTTAGCCTGGTGATGGGTATTAAAGAGGGCACGTATTGAATGGAGCACTGGGTGTTATGCACAAACAGTGAATCATGGAACACTACATCCAAAACTAATGATGTAATGTATGGTGATTAACATAATAAAAAAATTTGGAGAACATGAGAAAAAAAAAAGGGGCTGCAGAGGGGGAACCCCAGAATCTGAATATTATAAGCTCTCTCCAAACCCTTAGCTGGTGTCTGAATTACTCATGCATAGGGTGGGAAGAGGGAGCTCTAGAGGGATGGGTGGAAAGGAATAGATGGATGGCTAAAAGTTCTAAGTGGAGATTTTAGTGGTTGACCATCACAGAACACATAACATTTGGACTTTGAAACAGCCAAAGTAACTTACTTGAACAAAAATTAACATCCTTTAGTGGAAGTTAACAGAATTCAGAATAACCTCAAAAGTTTCATTCAAAATCCCAAGATTACATAAAAACTTACTAGACATGAAAAGAGACAAGAAATTGTGATTCAGTCAAGAAAAAGATAGTCATAGAAATCAATCTCATAGTTATCCAAATGTTGGTATTACCAGACAAGAGCTTAAAAGCAACTATTTTAAATATGTTTAAGGACTTAAAAGATAATACAGCCATAATGAAGGAAGAGAATCTCAGAATAGAAATAGAAACTACTAAAAAACACTGAGTAATGTACAACATTGTTGAATCACAACATTGTATGCCAACACTAATAGAACACTGTATATTAACTATACTGAAATTTAAAAAAAAAATAAAATGAAATAAAGGAGTACGAATTGAAAGAGAGGAAAAAAAGGACCAAAAGGGAATTCTTAACTGAAAGGTACAATATATGAAATGAAATATTCATTTATTGAGATTAAGAGTAGATCATAGACCATAGAAGAGTCAGTGAACTTAAAATGAAATAAATGGAAACATGAAATCTATAAAACTTAGAGACAAAAAAAATTGAAAAAAAACTGACAAAGTTCCAGTGAACTGTGGGCAACAAGTAATATAATACATGCTAAGTTGGAGTCCCAGAGAAGAGAAATAGAACAGAATTTATTTGAAATATAATGGCAAAAAATGGTGAAAAACATCAAATCAGAGGTTTAACAAAATTAATGAGGCCAAGTAGAATGAAGACAAAGAAAAGTATGTCAGCACATCATGGACAAATTTCTGAACACCAAGAACAAAGAGAAAAATCTTAACAGTAGCTAGAAGAAAAAAGGCACATTGAATAGAAGTAGGAATCAACAAACTACAGCCTGCAGGTCCAATCCAGTCCATGGCCTATTTTTCATATCACTTGGAACCTAAGAAGGATTTTATATTTTTAAAGAGTTGTAAAGAATAATAGATGATATGTATCTAACAAAACCTAAAATATTGACTCTTTGGCCCTTCACAGGAGAAGTTTCTGACCCTAGACATGGTGAAATAATAATAATGTCTGACTTTTCATTGTAAATAAGAGAAACCAGAACACAATGGACCAATATCTTGCTAAAAGGCAAAAGAAAAATGAACCCAGAATTCTATACCCAGGAAAAATATCCTTCAAAAATAGAGGCAAAATGAACACTATTTTAGATAAGTAAACAAGGAAATTCATTGCTAGAAAAACTGAACTATGAGAACTGCCAAAAGGCAGTTTCTCAGGCTGAAGGGAAATAACACCACAAGGAACTCAAATTTATAGTACGGAAAGAAGTGCTAGGAAGGATAAATATAGGAGAATATTTTAAGTCTTCTCTTAATCTTTTAAAAATATATATAATTGCTTCCACTTCTAGCTATTACGGAGTGACAAGGACTGGATTTACTCTTATTTCTTGAACAACTAAAAATTTGGACAAAATATATGAAAAAATAGTTTTTATGTGTTAGACAATAGACAGCACAGGTCAGTAATCCCTAAGAAAAGAGAAACAAATGTAGGAGCCCTTCAATTGTCTCCTCCCCGCAGTGCAAGGAATGGGAATCCAAACAGAATCCACTAGTCTCACTGAGTTGAGAAAGTAAAATTTAGCATTCAGGAAGGTGATGGCAAGCCACAGTTCATAGGTCAGCATAATGAGGAGACAGATGGACACAGAGAGCATTCTAAAGATCCTCAGAGCGTTATCCTTGACCCTATGCCTGAAGTTGGTAAAGAGCCACCCACAGCAAGGAGCAGGGAGAACACTGCTTGGGGCTCACACAAAGCTTATGTTCTAGACAGTCAGATGGGAAACCTTCGATACAGAGCAAGGGGTAGAATACTGAGAAGGATATTGCCTTATCAGGGGAAGCAAGTTAGACCTAGACAAAAGACTGCTGGTTCTACCTGATGAAGCTTGAAAGCAAGGCTCAAATGGGTCAAAATATTTCTAAGTAAGGGATTGTATCCCAGAAAAAAAAAAAACTCAAAAATATTTAAAGGAATAAAATAAAAACTCACAGAAAAGAACTAAGTTCATTTAAGAAGGAAGTGATAACTGAATAGCCCTACATCTATTAGAGAAACTGAATTTGTTAAGAACTTTCCCACAGAAAAAATTATAGGCCTTGATGGCTTCATTAATGAATTCTCCCATATATGGGAAGAAGAATAAATACCAATTTTATACTAACTCTTTTTAAAAAGAGAAGAGGAGGGAACATAATGCTTATTACTAAAATGAGACAGGATAGTACAGGAAAATAAAACAAAATTTTATCAAATTAAATCCAGTAGTACATGAATAAGTTAATACACAATGGCCAAATGGTATTTATCCCAGAGATGCAGGGTTGGGTTAACATTTGAATATCGATCCCTGTAATTCACTGTATTAAAAGACTAAAACAGTAAAAAAAAAAATAGGTTCATCTCAATAGATGCTAAAAAGCATTTGTTAAGATTCTACATCTATCCATGCATTAAAAAAAAAAAAATTCTCAGCAAGCCAAGAAGAGAATGAAACTACCTCAACCTGACAAAAGGCGTCTATAAAAACTGGCAGTCCAAATCTATTTAAAGGCAAATAACGTAACATTTCCCCTCTAAGGTCAGGAATGAGGCAAGGATGTCCACTCTCACTGCTTTTAGTTAACATTTTCTTAGAGGTCCTAGTCATAAGCATGTAAAAGAAACAAAAGTCATGTAGATTGGAAATGAAGAAGTAAAATGCTCTTTATTCTCATATGACATGATTTTCCATGCAGAAAATCCTAAGAAATCTATAAAAAGGCTACTAGAACTAATGAGATTGTAGGATAGAAGGCAAATATAAAAATACAACAGGCAAATGGGAGGACATAATTAAGCACATAACATTTCATAATGAAAAACTAAAATGTGAAGCAATATTCAAACTACTATAACACCAATCTCATTTTAAGACCCTCCAAAGAATTAATTATTAGAAAATTATGATAAATCCATAACTTAATATACTTGATTTTGGCTATTTCATCCTGCAGTTGACAATAAACTTACTTACCAGCTGTTATACGTGTCTGACTCCTTTCAATCCTATCCTTTATAGATATTGAAGGTGCTTTTTTAGTACCATGTATGGTTGTTGTGGTGAGCTCTTTTAGTTTCCAGTGAGTCCAAAAGCCTTTTTGAGGTTTTAAACCTGTTGATATAAAATGTACATTTAGTCAAGGAAATTAGCACATTTTTATGAGTATTACATGTGTTCAGCCTCACAACAATCCTGTGGAAATTGTCAGTCTCAAGTTTTATATGAGGGAAATTCTACAAGAAATATTAATGTCCTATTACATAAAAGAGTGAATTAGAAAAGAGGTCAAACTTGATAGCATCTTCTGACTCATAGACATAAGCTAAGTTCATAGATGGACATAAGAGGAAGTTAATTATTGCAAAAACTTGGAAAGGACCTAATCCATCAAGAGTATATCCATACAATGGATTATGAAGTATCCACTAAGAGTTATCTTGTAAATATTTGTTAACATAGAAAGACATTCAGAATGTTTTTTTGTGAAGAACAATTTTTACTTCTTGTATATGTGTGGCTGTAGCTTAAATGTTAACATGATTGCTTCCAAGTATAGGTGACTATCATTATTATTCCTTATCTGTATCCCCTAATATTTTTAAGTAATATTTATGAATCAATTGTAGCAACCAAAAAGTAACAAAAATAAATTAAAAATTTTTTATTTAAGTTCAATTTAGTTAAAAAATACTGTATTATTAATTTCAGGGGTAGAATTTAGTGATTAATCAGTTGCATATAACACCCAGTTCTCATTACATCAAATGCCCTCCTCAATGGTCATCACCCAATTATCCCTTCACCCACCCACCTCCCCTCCAACAACCCCCAGTTTGTTTTCTAGAGTTAAGAGTCTCTTATGGTTTGCCTCCCTCTCTGATTTTATCTTATTTTATTTTTCCTTCCCTTCCCCTATGTTCATCTGTTTTGTTTCTTAAATCCATATATGAGTGAAATAATATGGTATTTGTCTTTCTCTGACATTTCGCTGAGCATAATACCCTTTAGTTCCATCCACATTGCTGCAAATGGCAAGATTTCATTCTTTTTGATGGCTGAGTAATATTCCACTATATATACCACATCTTTATCCATTCATCTATTGATGGACATCTGGGTTCTTTCCATATTTTGGCTATTGTGGACATTGCTGCTATAAGCTTTGGGGTGCGTGTGCCCCTTCAAATCACTTTGTATCCTTTGGATAAATACCTAATAGTACACTTGATGGGTCGTAGGGTAGCTCTATTTTTAACTTTTTGAGGAACCTCCCTACTGTTTTCCAGAGTGGCTATACCAGTTTACATTCCCACCAGTAGTGTAAGAGGGTTCCCCTTTCTCTGCATCCTCACCAACATCTGTTGTTACCTGAGTTATTAATTTTAGCCATTCTGACCGGTATGAGGTGGTAGCTCATTGTGGTTTTGATTTGTATTTCCCTGATGATGAGTGGTAGTGAGCATTTTTTCATGTGTCTGTTGGACATTTGTATGTTTTCTTTGGAGAAATGTCTGTGCTTGTCTTCTGCCCATTCTTTAACTGGATTTCTTGTTTTTTGGGTGTTGAGTTTAATAAGCTCTTTATAGATTTTGGATACTAGCCCTTAATCTGATAAGACATTTGCAAATATCTTCTCCCATTCCATAGGTTGCCTTTTAGTATTTTTGGCTATTTTACAAAAATAAATTTTAAAAGTTCTATTTTTGTTCCAAAAGCTGTATATGGTTGAATAATTTAATTGCACTGAAAATGTATAGCTCCAGCAATAAAAATGAGAATAATATAAATTCCTTTGTGTACTTTATATGGTTGTTCTGAGAGTTAATATGTTAAAGTGTTCAGTAAATGAAAACTATGAGCTAATATTGTTATCAATATTACTATACATTGATATACTCCTAAATATAGCCAATATTTTATCAGAAATGAATGTTCAATGAGGATTACTTGCTGTATATATTTGACTGTCAATTAGAATTTTCTAAGTGTTTTTAGATTAGGCTATCACTTATTTCACATTAGTTGCCACTAGATAAACTGTGCGGAAAACTTCAGTTTAATTCACTTGAATGCTTTTTGATTGTCTGTGTTTTAAAATATAGTGTATTAACAGAAAATTTGAGATATAGTAAGGTTAACAGATCTGGAAATGATTGGCATTGAAAAGACAGCTTATTACTCACTGTTCCCGAGAGGAGGGGACACACCATGCCATGGTGGGCCACACATGGAAACACTGGGGCTGGTCAGAGGGGAAGAAGGGGAAACTGAGCAAGAGGCTTTATTGTGGCTTCTGAGGAAGGAAGAGGTGAGGCAGGGTAAACTGGCTCAGAATTGATTAATCTGAATAATTTCAGCAGGCTCTGGGGCACAGGTACTGTCCATAGTGGTTTGGTACCTGGTCCTGAAATTATTAGGATAAGGGGATAGAGGTCTACAGTGTGAGAACCCAATAAATGAGGTGTTGTCCTGTGGGCTCTGTATTGGTTGGTTCTTTTGAAAATCATGTTTTGAAAAGCACGTTTATGGGTGAGTTGTTTAATATCTCTAGCAATTGGCTAACTACAGCAGTTTAGTCCTTCCAGGGAAAGAAAGGCCCCAGATGTCAGGGTATCAGAACACAAAATAAAAGACATGGTTAATACAGTCTAATGTTGAATAATCATTCCATTTCTGGAATAAAACTTACTTGTTCCTGGTACATAAGGAGAAGTAACATTCAATAAACACTTTTGAAGGCTAACATCTACTAAACTATGTGTTGGACCCAAGAGACTCAAAATTCAATTCAACTTAATCATTACCTACCATCAAGGCAGATGTGAAATAAACACAGTACCTGGTCCATAGTAAGCATGTAATACAAGTTAGTTTCTCTGTTTTTTTTTTTTTTCTTCAAATTAACCACTAGTTGAGCTGACTACCTCCCATCATTATTTACAAGTAAGAATTTCAAATCAGTCAGTAAACATTGACTGTTCCAAAAACTGGCATTAATATAGGACCATAACATCCAAGTGAAGGCGTTCTTTATCTTTAGCCTTGATGATTTTTTTACTTTCTTATTTTAATGTCAATTTTTACAGTTTTACTGAAACATAATTAACATACAATATTGTGTAAGTTTAAGGTATACAACTGTATTGATTTGATACACTTACATATATTGGAATGATCACTCCATAGAATTAGCTAACGGCTCCATCATGTCACATAATTGCCACTTCTTTGTTATGGTGGGAACATTCAAAATCTACTCTTAGTAACTTTCAAGTATACGATACAGTTTATCAACTATATTCAACATCCTATATATTAATTTTCCACAACTTATTCATCTTATAACCAGAAGTTTGTACACTTTGACCAATATCTACCCATTTCTCCCATACCCTTGTAACCACCACACTATTCTGTTTCTATGAGTTTGGCTTTTTTTAGATGCAATATGTAAGCAATATCATACAGTATTTGTCTTTTTCTGTCTGATTTATTTCACTTAGCATATTGCGTTCAAGGTCCATCCGTATGGTTGCAAATGGCAAAATTTCCTTCTTTCTTATGGCTAAACAATATTCCATTGTCTGTATATACCCATCTTCTCTATTCATTCATCCATTGACAGACACCTAGATTGTTTCCATATCCTGGCTGTTGTGAATAAGGCTGCAATGAACATGGGAGTACAGATATCTCTTTGATATGTTTTTCTTTCTTTTGGATATATACCCAGAAGTGGGATTGCTCGGTTACATGGTAGCTCTATTTAAATTTTTTAGGAACCTCCATATTGTTTTCCAAGTAACAGCACCAATTTACTTTCTCGCCAACAGTGCACAGGGTTCCCTATTCTTTACATCCTTGCCAAGACTTATTTCTTGTCTTTTTGGCACTAGCCATCCTGATTCGTGTGAGATGAGGTCTCATTGTGGTTTTGATTTGCATTTCCCTGATGATTAGTGATGTTGAACATCTTTTCATGTGTCTGTTGGCCATCTGTATGTCTTCTTTGGAAAAGTGTCTGTTCAGTTCCTCTATCCATTTTTAAATTAGATTTTTGTTTGTTTTTGTTTTTGTTTGTTTTTTGCTAGTGAGTTGTATGAGTTCTTTATATATTTTGGATATCAACCCTTTATCAGAATATGATTTGAGAATATATTCCATGAGTTGCCTTTTAATTTTGTTGATGGTTTCCTTAACTATGCATAAGATTTTTAGTTTGATGCAATCCCACTAACTAATTTTTGCTTTTGTTGCTTGTGTTTTTGGTGTCATATCCAAAAAAATTGTTTCCAAGATCAATGTCAAGGATTTTCTCCCTATATTTTCTTATAGTTTTACCATTAAGTTCTTATTTTTACGTCTTTAATCCTCTTCGAGTTAATTTTTTGTGGAGTGATCTTAAGAAGTCCAATTTCATTCTTCTACATGTGGTTATCCAGTTTAACCATCACCATTTATGGAAGAGAGTATTGAGTATTAGTTGATTGTATTTGTGAGGGTTTATTTTTGGGCTCTGGATTCTATTCCATGGGTCTATCTCTATTTTTATGGCAGTACCACATCATTTTGATTACTGGAGCTTTGTAGTGTAATTTGAAATCAGGAAGTGTGATGCTTCCAGCTTTGATATTTCTCTGAATTTCTTTGGGTATCCAGGTTCTTTTGTGATTCCATACAAACTTTAAGGTTTTTTTTTCTATTTCTGTGAAAAATGCCATTGGAATTTTATAGGAACTATATTGAATATATAGATGGCTTTGCATAGTATGGACATTTTAACAAAATTAATTCTTTCAATCCATAAACACAGGATACCTTTCCATTTGTTTGTGTCTTCTTCAATTTCTTTCATCAAAATCTTGTAGTCTTCAGTATACAGATCTTTCATCTCCTTGACTGAATTTATTCCTAAGTACTTTGTTGTTATTAATGCTATTGTGAATGGGATTTTATTACTTTTTCAGGTATTTTGTCGTTAGTACAGAGAAATGCAACTGATTTTGTATAATGATTTTGTACCCTGCAACACTGCTGAATTCACTGATTAGTTCTAACAGTTTTTTGGTTGAGTCTTGAGGGTTTTCTATACCCAGGCATAACTCAGAGAT